ATCTTTTGATAGATGGGCACCATCAGCTTTCTTCACCACATTTGCTTATGCACCCACTTTGTCTTTAGTGGTTGTATCAGGGAGGTGAGCACACAATGATATGATTTTTTTTTCTTTGATGCCTGATAACTGATCCCCTCGGCACCTCATGATCACACAGGCTGCTGTCACCCATATTTTTTAAGTCAGGAATTCAGAAGTGGCTCAGCTGGATGGTTCTGCCTTGTCAGGGGCCATTGAGTTGGTTTCAAACTTGACAAAATGAGACACTGCCTGGTTTTGCACCGTCCCCACAATTGTTAAGTTTGAGCTTATTGTTACAGCCACTGTGTCAGTCCAACTGGTTCCTTCCTCTTTTGCACTGGCCCTCTACTTTAGCAAGCATCGTGTCCTGTTCCAGGGACTAGTCTATCCTGATAACATGCCCAAAGTAAGTGAGACAAAGTCTCACTATCCTAGATCCCCAGGAGCATCCTGGTCGTACTTCTTCTGAGACAGATGGGTTTGTTTTTTTGTGGTCCATTGTAGTTTCAATATTCTTTGCCAGCACCACCATTCAAATACTTTGATTCTTCAGTCTTCCTTATTCACTGTTTGACTTTCATGTGCATATGTGGTGATTGAAAATTCCATGGCTTGGGTCAGGTGCACCTTAGTCCTCAAAATGACATCCTTTCTCTTCAACAATTTAAAAGGCCTTGTGAAACAGATTCACCTTGTGCCACACACCATTTCATTTCTTGACTGTTGCTTCCATGAGCATTGATTATAGATTCAAATAAAATGAAATCTTTAACTACTTTAATCTTTTCTCCATTTATCATGATGTTGTGTATTTATATATCAAGAAATGTCCCAGTTCAGTCCAACTCAAGTCCATAAGTCCAATATTAGCCCATAAGTCCTTCTTCAAACTCACGCAGCCACATGCAATGATGCCGAATGCAGGAAGATCACAGGCCGGTGAATCAGAGATGTGTGGATCCAAGGTGGGTGGAAACATAACAGGGCTCCAGCAACTCTCAGGGTGAGTGGCAGAGTCCCAGAAAGTAGGAAGGCAAAGTATGGGGGGGGGGTGTTATTGGGGAAAGAGAGAGAGAGAGAGAGAGAGAGAGAGGTTCCCAGGGTCCTCCTTATCAGAAAGCCACAGCCCCAAGGCGAAAGCATCAGGCTGTGCCCTGATTGACAGGTTGGATTTCACCCCTACTCTTTCACACATCTTCAAGTTGACATCAAATCATCTAACTACCATAGATGGCAAATCTTTTTTTTAATTTATCATTTTATTGGGGGATTGTACAACTCTTATCACAGTCCATCCATCCATCCATCCATCCATCCAGCCAGCCAGCCAGCCAGCCATTGTGTCAAGCACATTTGTACATTTGTGGCCAGCATCATTCTCAAAACATTTGCTTTCTACTTGAGCTCTTGGTATCAGCTCTTCATCCCCCCCCTACCTTCCTGCCCTCCCCCCTCAAGAACCCTTGATAATTTTTTTTAATAATTTAGGAATGATTATTATTTTGTCATGTCTTACACTGTCCGATGTCTCTCTTTAACCACTTTTCTGTTTAGACTTCAAATCTCTATGGGAGCAGACAGCCTCATCTTTTCCCCTTGAAACAGCTGGTAGATTTCAACTGCTGACCTTGTGGTTAGCAGCCAAATGCCTACCCAAGGAGCTACCCAGGCTCCTTGACTTTTGAATTAGTATGTATCCAAATGAATTTATTTCTATAAACGTCATGTGAGAGTTCTTTAGGTATTAAAGCAAGGTGAGAGAGTTTAACCCTCCCCACTCCTCTGAAATAACAAAACCCAATAAACCTGTTGCCATTGAATTGATTCCAATTCAGGGCGACCCCATCAGGCAAAGAAGAACTCCTTGGGGTTTCCAAGGATGTGAGTCTTTATGGAGCAGAAAACTTCATTTGTCTCCCTCGGAGTGACTGGTGGGTTTGAACAGTTAACCTTGTGGTTAGCAGCCCAATATATGACCCAGTACACCATCAAAGTTCCCTCTGAGTGAGGGTACTCTCACTGTCGTGAAGTCAATGCTGACGCATAGTGGGTGTCTGAGACTGCAGCTGTTTATGGGAGTAAAAAGCCCATTCTTTCTCCCACAGAGCTGCTGGTGGTTTTGACCTGCCAACCATGCAGATTGCAGCCCACCACGTAACCACATAAGGTGACCAGACGTCCCGCTTTTGGCGGGACAGCCCCGATATTTTGCATTTTAGAAAAGTCCCGATTTTTGGAAAGAATGCAAGACCAGCTAGGGAACGGTCTACTTGATCCATATAGACCAAATTTTTAATCAAGAGCCCCCCCCACCCCCACCCCCTGGTCAATGGTGTCCCGCTTTAAATCTGGTCACCTTATCATATAACCAAGGTAGATATTACTAATTGATGACAGTGCTCATTGTTGCTAAGTCTGGATTTGGCCTCAGAATCTTTCTCAACACATGACTTCTTACCAGCACCACAGTAAACAGAATGGAAAACACGAGCTCAGTTCTTTCCCGTCTCTGCTCAAACAGAGCACTTATTATTGGCACTTGTAGTGGACAGCAGGCTCTACTGACAGGCACCCTGGTGATGCCGTGTTAGCGGAGAGGCTACACATCGTCTTTTCATGCCAGGAGGTTGCCCTCAGATGTTGATGGGGCTAAAGTTGTTTGATGTTGAAGGTTCATGGAGGTTGAAGATTCCCCTTTAGACTTGCTACCCACTTGCCCTCCACATGGGCCCCGCCACCGAATTCCCAGACTGCCCTTACCTCAGAGCAGCTGGCTTCTCTCTCCCAGGCCAGTGGGTGTAATTAATCATCGACGTCAGAGAATATTGAGTTCTACAGTGTTGGAAATGAAGGGTAGAAAGAACTTTGCATTTTCACTCTGTCCAGAAAGCTTATCCCCCAGCTATTGTACAATCGGCCTACTCTCCTAATTCAATTATCTCCTAAAAAGCACTCTTAGAAAGATCTCTTCTCACTAACATTCTTATCTCTTTATTCCTACCCAGCAATATTTTATTTCATAGCAATGTTATAATATAATTGGATGTATTTATTGTATTGCCATTTTCCCTATTGAAATAAAAAGAAAATCAAGGGTAGAGATTTACAGATTCCTAAGGCTTACCATAGTATCTAGATATAAGTACCCTATATTGAATGATGGATAGTTAAGAACACTGGGTCTACAGTCAGACAACCTTGGGCCTGAGCTTGGTTTTTCTATTTTTTAGCTGAGTGGGCAAATCAGTTACCTTCCGTAAGCTTCAATATTCTAAGTTAGAGCATGGGGTTATTATGAAGATTTTGAGATGATATGATATGGAGATGCTACTATTATTATTTTCAATGCTGTTACTATAGTACTATACTCAAGACTAGTGTGGACGGTTATCTTTATGGTTCGGTGATTAAATTCATCGTAGACTTTTCTCCCAGTCACTGTGTTGTATGTTATTCCTCTTCTTATGTTTTGGCGGGCTTTTGCTTTTTAGGTGCTGAACAGACTGAAGAGTAAATACGGCTCCCTGTACCGAAGGGACAACGTGATCCTGAGTGGTGTGCACACACACTCCGCTCCAGCAGGCTACTTCCAGTACACGATATTTGTAATCGCCAGTGAAGGATTTAGCAATAGAACGTTTCAGTACATGGTCAATGGCATCGTGAAGGTAGGTAACCACTGAAGCAGTCTGGGGCAGCTGTCTTTTACCAGTGCTGATCGGTGGCCTGAAGGTCGTTGGATATGAAGTGAGGAGCGTGCCGATAGAACATGTGGACAGGAGCACCCACAGTCTTGGCACCTTTCCCCGTCCCCTTCCTGGATTCCTTTGGGCTTATGCTCCTGAGCCGTTCCTGTTAGTCCTGACAGGCTGAGAAAAGAGGACCTTGTGGCAGCAAGCCCCGTGTAGCCATCCATAGAGATGGGAAGCATTTCCTGTGTAACGCAGATACATTTCAGGGCCCTACATGACCCATTTTCTGCATGGGTTATGTAAAGAAGCCATAATTCCTATCTTGCCTTGTATTTCCTAAAGAGCATAAATACTATCCAAGTTATAAACACAACACCACCAAATCAAAAATTATCTTCAGCAGCATCAGGCTTTCCGGGTACTCCTCGCCCCCACCCTCAGACCCAGGCCTGTCTTATGCACTTTTACTCCTCGCTCCCATCTATTCCGGTTAATTTTTCTCTGGTTTAGGAAGCTTGTTAGGACTTTTCTTCACTCATCTGCCTTCTAGGTTTAGCCTCGCTCTGCTTTTTTTCTCAGAAAACACCCCCAATATGTAAGAATCCAGCTGGCAAAGGCAGAATTTGTTTTATAATGTTTTTCAAACAGCGGCAAGCAGTCTATTACTGGCTTATGAAATCATTTTCATGAGTCACAATAAGCATCACACACACACACACACACACACACACACACACACACACACACA